CCCCCCCCTCCCTCCAAAAAAAAAAGACACAAAAAACAAAGGCGCCTTCCGAGCCCCCAAAAACCCTAAACCCTAAACCCTAAACCCTAAACCCCAAAAAAGGCCCCAAGAAGATCCAGGCGTGTGCATGCTGGCGACCATCGGCTTCGTTGCCGAGCAGTACTGGCAGCTTCCAGGCCCCCTCCTTTGGGCCGCAGGGCTTAGGGTTCTAGGGTGTAGGGTTTAGGGTTTAGGGTTTAGGGTGTAGGGTGTAGGGTTTAGGGTTTAGGGTTTAGGGTTTGGGTTTTGGGGGTTTGGGTTTAGGGGTCAGGGTTTAGGGTGTAGGATTTAGGGTTAGGGTTTAGGGTTTAGGGTTGGGGTTTAGGGGTTAGGGATTAGGGTTTATAGGGGCCTAAAGAGTTCGAATAGGGTTTTGGGCTCTTGTATCGTACATTCGTGAGAAGGAGCCCTAATAATACAAGGTAATGTTGGGACCTGAGAATTAGAACAGGGTTCCTGTAAGGGTTCTTTAAAGCGTTCTATAGGGGGTTACACAATTCTGAGAGGAAAATTTGAATCCTTTTAGGGTTTCTTTAATGGGTTCTTTGGGGCTGAGGGTTTAGATTTTGGGGTTGTGAGGCCGCGGGCTTTCAGCTTCACTGCGGTTTTTGGAGTTTGGGCTGAGGGCTTGGGAATTTAGGGCTGGGTTTTGGACTCAAGGTCGGATTCAAGGTTAGGGCGTTCGACTGTGGGTCTTCGGGTTTGGGTTTAGGGCCAGGGTTTAGGGTTTGGGGCACCTCCAAACAAGTAGCTGAACCTAATATCAAGCGCGCAGCCACCGCCAAAATAGAAAGCAAAGGTCAAAGGCTTGATTGGTACAGCACGTACAGATACCCATTTAGTTTCGTCTTCTGCGGGGGGAAGACCCGCTAACATTTTTCGTATGATGCCGCATTGCTCCTGGAACATCGTACTTTATGCCCCAAAACCTCATGATGGAGCCCCCTAAACTACAGTCTGAGCCGGGGGTATGACTGTGCAGGTTGAAGATATTGGCAGATCCATTTTTTAGCGTAGGGTTTGGGAGCTTCAGAAAGCCAGTGGTTCTCTGGGGGAGTCGCAATGCCGAAATCGGGGGATTCTGATAAGACCTTACAAGGCAGGAGTCTTAATATACTCCATATTGAATTTTCAACATGAGGAGATCTGGGTTTGTTCCTGTCCAGGGTTTAGGGTTTAGGTTTTGGCATGTCCAGGGTGTGGGGTTTAGGGTCGTAGGATTAATTTAGGGTTTAGGGTTTGGGGGTTTAGGGACTTCAGGGTGCAGCTTCGTGCGATCCAACCCGAGGCATCGCTTTAGACCCGCACCCTGCCACTGCTGAGGCTTTGATGCGGCACCGGATGCCCTGCAGGCACCTGATGCTCAGGGCCTACAAGGGTTCTATGATATGGTCCGGTCTCTAAAGTGAGGTCCATGACACTTTTTACGGAGGCCCCCGCGGAAACCCACCCTTTCGCATACTCGGTTGAACCCGCATGGCACGATGTCTTTTTCACTGGCCTCTTTCTGCCAGTGTTAAGGATTGGGGGTTAAGGCTCTTGTGTGTTTTGGATTCCGAGTTTAGGATGGGTGCATCTGAAAAGTCATGTTTGTGCAGGAGCTTGTTTGCCGCCACTTGCCACTCATTGCTAGCATCAGTGCTTGCATATTGCCGGCATCAATATATGGCGGTTCGAATGACTAGCCCATACGATCGCCCTTTTTGTCCTTGAGAAGCAATCCAGCTACTCCCCCGCCCCCATTTGACCGGTGTACTTCGCCTATTCCTTCCGCCCATGAAGGCAATCTACGTTGCCCCGGCCAATGCCACGGGCGTCCTGCTGTTCTTGGCGGGCTACATTGAGACCTGGCTGGAGATTGACACCGGGAGCTCCCCTGGTCAAGGGGATTTCTTATTAGCTTGAGTCTTAATTTTAAATTACTGTTATGATATTTGCTTTCATGATGAGTGTATTATGATTGTTATCACTACGATTACTATCAAACTTGTTGTTACAGTTATTGTTTCGAACCCCGGTTAGACTTAATGGAAGCTTCATCTAGTCTTAACTCAGAGTTCCTTATGGAGGATCCCAATCAGTGTATTGCGAAAAGGGTTTAGGGCTTAGGGGGCTTAGGGTCTGTCCATCCAGAGATCGTGGCCTCTCTGGCCCAGCAGCAGGCAATCATGGAAATGCCATGCTTGCGACAGTACTACTGGCACGCGGCGCAACCTTAGCAAATTGCCTACTATAGGGGACTGACTGAGTAGAAGCAGTATCCCATGATGGAGCCCAACTTCTTCTCTGATTTTGGTCGCATGTCACTGGCCATCGTGGTCGCGTTCGAAGATGCTGTCGTCTTGGTGTTGTTGGTGGCCGTTGTTTGTGAGCGTTTCGGCTGCAAAGCCATTTCCTGAGATGAAACCTTATACCTAAACCGTAAATCCTGATTAAGCCTGATTAAGCCCTAACCCTAATCCCTAAACCCTGATTAAGTCCTAACCGCTCCTAACCTTAAACCTTAAGCCCTCAACCCT